TATAATGTTATTTTATTCAATTAATATCTATTTAATATCTATTTAGTTCACTTCATTTAATTGGTTCCTAAAACAGAAATATTTAACTTTTTTTTTGATTTTCGTCGAAAATGATATGCGCCTAATTAATTAGTTTCCTTAAATTTCATATAATTAGAAAATTTACAGTCAACAGCTTACTTTAAACATAAGTCCTGCATATTTTGAATTATTAAATAAAATAGTTAACGGGATTAACTAAAAACGACATTTTAATTCAACAGCAAATATAATACACTTATTAATATAACTACCTCTGAGCGCAGATATTAACAAATAGGGATATGTCAACGGAGAGCACGAAAACTAATAGTAACTTAGATTTTGAAAGCAATGGGGAGTTAACTCAACCACCAAGTAACTCATTCAGGAATCATCAATTGTGAATTTTTTTTGTGAAATACCGTAAATGTCACATCTTTTAGACCTAATTGTGTGAGGCATAGCAACAACAATTTTCAATTTGTTGTTGTTGGCACAGATTTTTGTGTGAAATCTAGTAGCTTGAAAAAGCGGTAACGATATTCAATCTCTTAGTATGTGTACGGGTTTTTTTTTACTGGTACAATAGGTCTCTTCTGGCCGCAGTACCGGCTGTTGAGCAATTTTCACGTCTACTCTTTTAATAAAAAAATAATAATGTGTACGGGTTTTACCAAGGAATTTAACAGCTCGAACTCTATCTATTATTAAAACGTAATCCCTTGTTGTAGTTTCAAAAAAGTACAGAATTTAGCAAGTGTTATCTACTCCAACGGGTACGATATGCAATAGATATATAGATGGATAAAGATATTAGAGATACCATATATAGATAGACGATATACAACAGATGTGAGAATTTTAGTTATAATATACTTATTCGAGTATGAAAAAGGTAAATGAAATTATTATCAAATTTATTATTTTATTATAACTGATTCTAAATACAAATTCCATTATAAGTTGGAGAAATGAACAAGTTTGCTTGAGTTGCTTTTAAGGCTAGTTCCATCGAACTTATTAGAGGCTATAAATTAGTATTAAGGCTAATATCCAATAACTGTAAGCAAGAAGTGATATACACATAGTAAATTTTTTAGTGAAAAAGCCGTTTTATGTATACATTTTTTTAATCTAGAACATATCACCTATATACAGCAGGTTGGTTCTATTAAAATATATAAGAGTTTTAAAGAGAAAGTTCTATTGACTTCATATACACAATATAAGAATTGAGTTTGGTTTTATTAAAGATTTAGAAATGTTCAAATTTTATGTTTAGTTTGAATTTAGTTAAAAAATTTGAAAATATTTAAAATAATTCTAATTTCATCACACATTCAGTTCATTCTTACAAATCTGCTAAAAACTTTACTACATTAAAATGCTTAAACTTATTTACATACTTAATGTATTGTAGTCATAATATTTAACTAAGAGAACTACAATGTTTATATTTGGATCAATAACTACTAGTACACAGTGTAGTCCCACATGCCTCATAATTTTCACCTCCTCCACCGTCTCCATGTTCTATTTGAAGTCGGGCGTATTTAATTATTTTACAGCGGTTCGCTGTATTGCAGCTCTTGAAATGCCAGTGATACACTTTCAACACTTCAGCCTTTACAGATGTTAACTAGTAAGCAAATACGCCGACGTTATTTACACGTGTCGTAGTATTGCCTACACTGAGAAAAATTCTTGTGAATGGTGAAATTGGTGTTCACTTTGAAGCGTTGGCAAAATTTCATGCATAATTATCTCTTAAGAAATTTCAAATTACTTTCCATTTGTGTTCAATAAATATTTATTTAACGAATTTTTCATAGTCCGTCTGAATTCTGAAATGGCTGGTTCCACTTGCAGTTGAATAATGAGTAATAAAAGTAACAAAGATTAGATTAATGTGTAAAATTACGTAAGCAAAGTAGGTGTTGTTAATAGTATTTATGAAATTTATTTGAATTTTTCTCTAACTTCTAATAGTTTTCAGTTGTCTTCACCTATACAGCTTTTTAAAATATGTAGAATACAGTAACGTCATGAGATGTTCTAATATGGAGACGAAATTTTTTACAGCTGATTTTCTCCATTTTTTCAAATTTTTTAAGTTTCAACATTATTTTTAACAGTAATTAATAAATCTGAATTCAAAGGACATAAAAGTGTATGTGGGATCTGTGGGTCGCGGTTCAAATTTTATTTTAATCTCTAACATTTACAGTCCAAAATTTATATACGGACAATCAAACCAATATACGTTTCCGATAAGCACTGATGATGGATAAGATATTTGGTGGTATCCGAAACAGCTGTATGGTCTTTATAACTCTATAACCTATTGATTCTGCCCAATAATAACAAATAACTAGGATCATAGCTCTTACTACTTCTGCTATTCGCCTCGACAAAGTTACTGTTACGATGAATCACCTCATTCTAAAGAGCCCACGTTCTATATAATGGCTAAGAAATAATAATTTTCCAACAGGCAAACAAGGTCAATAAAAAGATTTCTGATAAGTTGATGAGGTTAAGGGAGCTGCAAGTGAGAAGAAATCATGGTGTGTAGAAACAAAATAAGCTTCGCAAGTTTTACAAAAAAATAAGCCAACTCAAAACTACATATCTAGAGCATCGAATAATGAAGAGGAATATAACAATCTGGTTATGGATATATCGGGTGAAGTGTACCATAAAAGAAAAATATTTCTTAATTGCTGTCTGATAAAAATTATATGAATTTCTTGTGATGAAAATAGACATGACAAGAATGATATGTCAAATTGAGAATGATAATGTTAAATTTTAACACCTAAACATACTGATGCGAGTGATGTAGTGGAATAACTCAAGAACAACAAAGTGAGAGACACTGATATTGACTAAAGAACTTTACAATGTTAGTGTCAATATATTCGAAGAATACGATTAGACAAAAGTGTGGTTAATGATTCCAGTTTCGGTGCCCTCTAACATATTTCGAAAAACGGTGACTTGGTCATATTCGATAAGTATTGCCGGATTAGCCGACAATATAACATAAGCTGTGCACATCGTTTTTAAAATTCATATATTTTTTATCGTGTTTTTAACACTAAAACTATTATTATTAATAAGATAGATACATTTTATAAGACTGTCACACGAATCGCTCCTAACATAACTTAGTGCTTATGTTATCTGCAGGTCAATTTTGTGTCATACCTATCATAAATTAAGATAAAATTTAAGGTAGTTTAAATCAATTAAGATAAGAAAAATCAGAAGAAGTTCAGTTAGTATTACTGAATAGTCTCAAGTAAGTCAAGAAGTATAAGTCAGTTGCAGTTGAGTTTTGTATAGTGGTATTGATGATATGAAATACAGCTTTAAGAAAAGCAGTGTTCTCTTTATAAACCTATCAATAGTGTAGGCTTAAACTTTCTATTTAAGTGGTTTTTTAATCAATTGTTCGTAAGTGCAATAATGATATGTAATCTACAATAAGTTAATCAAAGCTTGCTTTGCTACAAAAGGCGGGCAAGTCAATAAACTGTGGTTTATTTAATGACTCACTTTTATTTCAAAATCGTCTTCTTTAAATTTGACACAATTGATCTTAAGCTTATTTAATCGGTTTAGATAATATCGTTTTTGTATCTTCAACATAAATCTTTGTATCTTCGTTAATATGGTATTGTGATAAATCGATCCTTTTATAGTGTGTGGTTTATTGTTTTGATTGTTCCTTCCTTTCTGAAGTGATATAATGTATGTGCAGTGAAAAATGTATGCCGAAATTTAATTGGATCAAAAAATTTTTTTATCATCTACCTTGAGCAAGTGCGATTCTTACTTTCATGCCCAATTGTGTGGGCAAAATTGAAATAAGAATCATGTATGGTCCATATAGTCCCAATAAGCTCGTGTATTTTTACTTATCGTTAAGTTAATAGAAAGTAATAAAAAATAATATCAAATATAGTAATAATAAGTGAATAAGATATAACTTATGTTATGTTCGCACATTTCTGACAGCATACCATATTTTTTTAATACTGATAGTGTTTTACGGGTAATACATAACTCTGTTCAGCTACTATTGAAATTAGTATAGATTGTCACTCATAACACAATTACTATTTTGTTTTATGTTAAATATTTACTTAGAGATCACTTTGCTACTGAGACCAAGTCAATGTTTTGTACTACATATTCTAAAAGAGTTCGAAAAAGGATGATCAATTCAAGGTTTACCTCTTTTCTAATGGCTAAAAATTTATTTTTTTTTAACAATAATAGAAACTAACGCGAGTTTTACTACCAACTTCACCGTCTATACCCTACCGTTTGCTTGGAAGTCATCTTTCGAAGTGACATTCTGATCATTGTTGTTTTGAATTGAACAGACTCTATTTACGTCTGAACTTTATTCGACCCTTTAATATTCAAATTTCCCGCTAGTAAGGCGCACACCTCATGTAGAGAAATACTGTTAGAAGGTCTATACCCCTCTGTATACAGATCTGTGGTGAGAGTATGCCGCCGTTTACTTATTTTCATACGCGTAAATAACTTAAATAAATAATTAAATATCTGAAATTTTTTTTGTTATGTACTTAAAGACTCAAATATTAAATATAGTTTAATGCTTTAAATTTAATTTTTTTTCGGTTTTATTATTTTTAACGCAATTTGTTGGTTTTCCGAACTTTGTTTGTCAATGAGAAAATATGAGATAATTATTTTTGGCGCAACGTATGGTATCCAAGCACACATTTTTGTTTTTCATTTTTAAGTAAATAATTTTTAATATCTTAAATTGTTTATTGAAATATCTTTCACTTATCACTAAAGCCTAAAAGCAAAAGCTCAAACAAAAACTAAAATAAAATTATCGTTTTCCACAATATTGTTGAACAATAACACTTTATAGATTTGCCAAAAACCACGTTATTTCGAACCACTTTTCATTGCACAGAACCTAAACATACCTGAGATGTGTTAACGATTCCACTTCCGAAGTATGTAAATTCAACCTGGGAATGTTTGCAATTTACATAAATGTTGCTAAGTAAAACTAGCCAAAATAATCAATTCTTCGCTGTAGAGCACTTGCGTCCGCAGTGGAGCAATAGTTTGACTTGATTCCAAACAAAGACAATATCGGAAATAAAACGCGTTTAAAGTCTATTATTTCATAATCGCTGCGCACCCAAAACGGTTTGTATTCGACTCCTGGATTAGTACAACTGAATAGGTCTTGTTACCGTTTACAGTTGCTAGTCGCGTGAAAACGGCATAAGTGCGACGATTGTGTGTTAGTGCGCCGCTGCCACAGGTGCGGGGTGAACCGATTGGCCGCTGCTACTTTCAGTCTTTAATGTGACAAATTTTTGATAAACATCAACTGATAACGGCGAGCTAAACACCAAATTCAGTTGATAAGGTCGACACAAGCTTTTCAACTATCTTAAGTATACGCATTTCTCTGTTTACTTGTTTTTAAATGAATAAAATAAAACGTTAATAAATGATATGTATTACTTTGTATTTAACACACACACGCATACACACACATATACACACACACATTGATATCAATTTTGGTAACGAATTTGTATGCATTTCTAAAAAAGCTTTTGAAGCTTTCATCGTAAAATCCGCACAACTTTCAATAATTACATTTTGTTTGCACCATTGGTTGGCATGGAATCGTAAGAACCTGGTATAAAGTCCACTTTTTCCGCTCCAAAGGAGTGACTGAATGCATTGAGGTAATTTATTTTCAAGGTCCCTTTTAGATATTTTCAAATTCAGGAGCTCGCATTTTTAAGTTCATAAATCGTGACGTATAAGTTATGTTTTAAAGCAAGCACATATATTTGGTAATTATTGCGTTTAAATTCACGTCCTCTAAGAATTGCAGAGACTTAAAGCGAAAAAAAATAAAATTAAATCATTTCAAAAGGACATGAAATATATGACCTTTGAACACTTCAACCATTGACGAGGTCACTAGCTTAATTTGATTTCTAATTACAGTATACTGACTCACGAATGTATCGATACACTTTACTTTAATAATGTTCCAAGTTTTTTAACTTTTCCCAAAGCTTCGCTGCGATAATCCCTGGGTTGAGCTTTCAATCACTGGAGACTAATTTTGTTCAATAAGAATGAAAGGGTATTATCAATTAATTCAAAACGAAATTCTTAATTTTCAGCGTGAAGACTGACGAAACGTAGATGATGGAAGAAACCAATGGTGAAAGAAATTGCCCACACCTGTTCAAGCCCTCAATCTTAATAAGCTCTTTGATTTTTATTTGATCGTAATACTATATTTTTTTTATTTTATTATAGGGTACTCACTACCTCTAGTAACGAGCTCGGTAATCGAGTAACTATGAAATATATGTAACTATGAATATCGGTAACCGAACTGGTTACGCGAGATCGCAAAATATCCATTATGTTCCTTAATCGGTGATTTGAATTAAAAAAAAAAATAAACAAACTGAAAGAATAAAACAATACCATCGTGCATAAAAAATATAAATAAATTGAATAAAAAAAAGATTTTTTATGAGTTGTAAAGTAATTCAGAATTAAGTGAACTTGTTCACTCCGAAGTGCGGCAAAGAACAACAAGAATCTTACTAAAGCTCCTAATTTGTACGCCATCATCAACACTACTAATAGGCCATCATCAACACTGGTAATTATACTAATTTCGATGTGGAGATAAATTTTGGTCAACCACAAGCGACTAAGTTTCAAATCAGTTGGTACATATGCAGGAGCATAAAGGGTATTCACTATTTCACGTAACGATTTCACCGAGTAGCAAGTATCAATCTAAATAAATAACAGATGAGATATAAAAACTAGAATTTTGTTTTTTACTGTTTTTATTATTTATTAATGTCGGAACTAGACTATATTCTAAATAAAATCAAGTAAGAAGAAAAATAATGGTGCTATGGTTTTTCTCTCTCTCTCTGTTGACACCTTACTAGTATATTAACGTAGAATGATTTCCAGTCGTAGTAATATTATTAAACAAGGTTTAATTCATAGGCGCAGGAATATGATTTGAATGCAGAATAAAAACCCAACGCAATGATATTATTTAAACACGATTTGATTTACAGATACAAGAATATTAATTATAGTCAATGCATATTTCGCACAGCTCAAGAAGTACCCGGATTTTGTTAACTACTCCTTAAGTAATAGACCTTCTTCAAAAAAGGTCTATTGTTATATTGGTACACCCATTCTTCACATATGGTACAAGTTTAAGCGCCATCTATCAATTAGTTTGTTTACAGCAGCTGTTAATGTGAGACTACCTCAGGTGCATATAGCGATTTTTACTATGGAAAATTCAGTTGAACAACGAGTTTGTTTGAAATTTTATGTTTTGAACGAAATGATTTTTGAGCATGGAAACGATTCTACATTCATGAAACGCATCATAACAGGTGATGAGACATGGGTTTATGAGTATGACGTCGAGACAAGTCAACAATCGAGCGAATGGCGCTTCGAAAACGAGCCAAAACCCAAAAAACCGCACAAAAGTCGCTCGAAAATTAAAGCGACTAAAATAAAGAATATTACCTCGGTGTTATGCGGCATTTGCGTGAGTTTATCCGTAAGAAAAGACCAGATTTGTGAAAAGCCAACAATTGGATTTTTCATCACGACAACGCTCCATCCACACGGCTCTTATTGTACGCGATTTTTTGATCAAACACGGCACCACTGTCATCGCTCAGGCACCATATTCGCCAGATCTGCCGCCGTGTGACTTTTTCCTGTTCCCGAAACTCAAATTGTTCCTTCGTGGTAAGCGTTTTGAGTCGATTAAATCGGTAAAAGAACATTTGCTGAAGGAACTAAAAGCCATACCTGCACGGGCCTACGAAAAAGTGTATGGAAGATTGGGTTAAGCGTTGGCATATGTGTATCGCTTCAGATGGAGCATATTTTGAAGGAGATAAAATAAATGTGGAATAAAATTCAAATTTGTGTGTTTTATTTACAAATTCAGGGTAATTTTTGAGCAGAAGGTGCAATATAATTATTTGATAAAAGTAATATATTAGAACGTGCTTACCAAGATTCCAGTTTTCTATTTAGTTACTAGTTTGCTTCTCTCCGTCTCCTTAGACCAAAGCCATGGTCACGTGCTAGACATTACCTTTTAAAAACGACCCTAATACGGTACTATTACAGCCTTATATGTAGTTTCTCTATCAGACAACTATTAAAGCTCTCAGACCGGTACTCTGCACGTGCTATTGTTTCACTTTTGGTTTCCCTTGTCTAGTGATGGGCTTCACCGTCCTTTATTAATATAGTGTGGCTCTTCTAACGATGATAATAAATAAAAAAAACTGTGCCTCGTCCAGTGATGCTAGTCAAAAAAGAGCCGATCCGCACTGTCCAATCATGATTGCAAAGAGAGTGCGATTTCACGTTTTTGTGCCCTTTTATTTTCTACGCTTTTAATCCCGTAATCCTACGGAGTTGTTTATGATGTAATATTATAATGTAAGGATCGACATGTAATATTATATGGAACAGCAGGTTTGTGATATAAAAGGATTAATTGCCTTTTTCTAAACATGAAATTGATCCGATGTAGGAAGGATGGACCTGTTGGCGCAATAAGTATTAAACTAAGCACATCAGCTGATTTAAGTATTTCTAATCTCTTTAGCCGCTTTTCGTTATTTCCAGCAAAAGTGCCGCATATAACTCTGAAATTCAAAAGACAGTAAACTCAAATTGAGTGAACAAAAGAATATAATTTTATTTGGAAAATCGTAGGCTAGTATAATACGATAGTATTTATCTTACTATTCTGATGCAAAATTGTACCTGCATGATCAAAGTCAAAACGACAAAGCGATAAATTATGTCACAATTGTTTTGTTACTTTATTTATTATTATGAAGTTGTTTTGATGTAGTGCACTTAAGTACTTATACTCTTTTTTAACTCCAGGTTTCTTCTCTACACCTTGACTAGATTATTGTTTATCACTCCATAAGCAATAATTGACCTCAGCTCTGCATACCTCCCTAAGGAGCCTGTAACCATTCTGAGATTTTCAACGCGGTGTTGGTCGCGATCTCAAGTAAGGCGGTAGAAAATCATTGAAGATTTGTTTTCAAATTCCGATAGTAACCTCTCTTTGGAGTCTCCAAAATTCACTCATCACAAAAGAAGTGAATGAAGAAGGTTTAAGGTGGCTGTGACATCAGGTTTTAGCGGAGCAGAAACTCGCAACGCAGTCCTAGACTGCGATTAAGTGGGTCAGATCAGAAGAGCAATTTCCCGGTTTGATTACTGCTAAAAAACCTAAGGTGGCTCATGAGACTTATCAAACCATCATTCAGTCTACCTGTTAAGGGTATACATTTAGGCTTCATGTTCCGGCTGGAACTTCGGTTTCTATAGAGCAAATAACCCTTCTTTTAGAAGCCATAATTGCTGTTGCTATAGAGCAACAAAGCGAAGGTCTACAGCCTGAGTTCGAAGGCAGTCTACCTAGAACGGGATGGCTGCTTATCGTCTAAAGTGATGAAATAAACCGCGGGCTGCGTCAAGCGATTTTCAGGTCACATAGGGGCCAAATGCGAATTCGCCATAAACGTAGTTGAGGAAAAGGATTTTCCACGAACTCATGTGGTTCGTGGCTATTTTCCTCAAAGTTTGATTTTGTCAAACGTAAAAGTTTTGGTTACCATTGGTACCCAGAACAAATTCTCCACCAAGTGGTGGAAGCTGATACGTAGACTGACGCATCATCAGATGCTACACCTAGTTTTCGTCATTGATGATGAATCCATGAGGTCGTTTTTCGAACTAAAGGGTAGGATTGCATACCGGTTTGGACACTTGAGATTGATGCTTAAGGGAACTACCCCCGTTCTCTCTCACCCCGTGGATAATGCTCTAAAGGTGGTTCAGGATGACAAAACCATCCAGTCATCCTCGGCTGTATTGTATGTGTGTTGATTAATTTGAGTACTTGAAAGCCAAACTAATCGATGCGAGAAAATAAGAAATGATTTGTATTGGTTTTTCTTTATTTCTCGCATCGATTAGTTTGGGTTTCAAGTGCTCAAATTAATAAAATACACATAAAATACAAGTAAAATACACATAAAATACAAGTAGTTTGGGTTTCAAGTGCTCAAGCTACTTCACACGCAAAATAGGCTACCAAGCTAATACAGATTAAGGATCTGGTTATTGATATAATATGATTATTGATATAATATCAATTTTCATTTCATTATCCTGACGAAGAACACTTCGAAGGAGTCAACTGTCTACAAAAAGGACATAATCAGGTGTACTTCACTTATCAAGCATCTGAAGTTTTTACTCTTTGGGATCTTCGGACCGAAAATTAAAACATCACCATCAAAATGGATGCGGAAACAATTAGAGCTTGGTGCAGATATAGAGCGGCTGATAACCAATTTTAAAAAGGATTCTAGTATCCGGAAGCATGATTCCATATACTACGAAGACCGACTAAAGAAGCTAAATTCTCTATGGAATGATTTTGATATGAATGATGTTGAAGTCAAAGCATTGCCACAACCTGAACTCGAACACGAGTATTTCAGTGCAGGTTACTTTGAAAAAATCTCCAATCTAGTAGTCAAATATGATGAACGATTCAAGTTGGAGAAATCAAGGCTAGTCCCAAAACCACAGGACGGGAAGCCAGTAGTAAGCCCAAGAGGGTCAAACAAATCTACATCGCTCATGCGAAACATCAAAAACCAATCCTCATTAATGCATGCATTACGCGCAAGCATAGATGAAATTTATGAGGAAATTACCATAAAACATCATCCTAGTTATTATGATCTGAAATATTCTCTGATAGAAAAATATCAGAAGGATCTGAGGGATAACAATGATGAAATATGGTCATCAGCCGACGCAGAAGACATCGTCGGATATACTTGGGATCAATACTATTCAACGGATAAAGATGCCCAAAACGCGTTGATATATTTAAAACAACACAGTCAACCAACTGAAGGATTGACGTCAGAGGGGCCTGCAGCAACTCAACAAATCAGACTTCCAAAAATAGTTCTGTCAACATTTGATGGAGACTATTTGAAATGGATTGAATTTAGAGATTTATTTCAACAATTGATTTATGATCAATCATTAAGTGCAGCCCACAAAATGTTCCATCTATCTATAAATCTAGCGGGTGAGCTGAAAGCTCTCATACGGCATCTGCCAATTTCTGAGCAGAATTACAATATAGCTTGGAGTATTCTATCAAACCGGTATGACAACAAACTACTGTTAGTGACAGCATTATTAAATAAATTGCTATCACAACCAAACATAACAAAAGAATCAGCAGGCAGTCTTAAAAGCATATATGATGTTACGAAAGAATGTTATTATGGGTTAGCAGCTCAAGGTATTAATGTTGATTCTTGGGACGCCATAATAGTCCATATAATCATCAGGAAGCTAGACAAATCTTCACATACGGCATTCGAGTAGTCTTTAGATGACAGTCGAAGGATAATTTCTTTAGAAGAATTATTGCGATTCCTGGAAGGAAGATTTCAGGCATTCGAATCAATGACAAATGGAAACAACAAACAAATTCACAAATCACGACATCCAGCAGTAGCACTTACAGCTACAGACTCAGGAACAAAATGTATTACTTGCAATAGTAGCCATCAGTTATTTTCATGTGAAAATTTCAAACGTAAATCCATACAGCAGAAGTACGATTTACTAAAACGTCATAAATTGTGCACAAACTGCATGAAACCTGGTCATATAGCGTTACAATGTTCCAGCAGGGGATGCACCATATGCCAAAGAAGACATAATACACTGTTGCATCAAATTAGACAACCAGTTCTACCATCAAATCAGTTAGCTGAAAACACTTCAAGGCCATTCGCACAAACAACACTTATGTCATCCATCAATTCTGGTAGGACCAGTTTCGTTCTTTTGGGAACAGCAAAACTTTTAGCATCTAACTTTAATGGAAGAACAGTCGAGTGCAGAGCAGTACTGGATTCAGGTGCACAAATAAATATTGTGACTGAACGACTAGCATCCAGATTGGGTCTGCAACTAAGCTCCAGTTCAATTTGCATCTAAGGCATAGGGATCGGAAAATTGAGTACAATCAAAAGTGACCAATTACAAAACAATACTTGAAGCATTTGTTTTACCCAAAATTGTATCCAATCAACCATCGCAGCACTTACAAATTTCAGATTGGAATTTGCCCAGTAACATCCAATTAGCAGATCCTACATTCTACAAGTCTGACAAAGTTGATATGTTGCTTGGAGCAGAATTTTATCATCAACTCCTAAGTCCTGGTCAAATACAACTTTCAAGGGAACTACCAATTCTACAGAACACTGTGCTTGGCTGGATCGTATCTGGAAAAACTCAAAATGCTAACGCAATGATTGCAACATGTGGGATAGCATCAGAAGATAGTTTTGAAAATGCAATAGAACAATTTTGGAAGGTTGAGGAAGTTGATACTCACTCAAAAGTCTTGTCAAGAGCAGAGCAACAATGTGAAGCTCAATTCACTCAAACTACATATCAGAATGCCACGGGACGGTTCATCGTACGTCTTCCCTTTATAAATGACAGATTCGCTTTAGGAGATTCGAAAGACATTGCTACGAATAGACTTTTAGCGTTAGAGCGTAGACTTTCAAGGGATAGTTACCTCAAACGACAATATGTAGATTTCTTAGATGAATATGAAAAATTGGGACACATGACCGAGATAGACATGGAAAGGATTATGTCACCGCATTATTTTATCCACCATTGTGTTCTTAAACCTGACAGTACCACCACTAAGTTAAGTGTGGTATTTGATGCATCATCCAAAACAACATCAGGACAATCTCTCAACGACTTACTACACATCGGACCAACTGTTCAAAGTGAACTATTGTCTATTCTGTTACGATTTCAACTTCCTCGCTTTGTGTTTACTACAGACATTGAAAAGATGTATCGACAAATGCTTGTACATCCAGAAGACAGACAATGTCAGCTTATTGTTTGGAGAAATGAACCGAATCAACCTATAAAATACTTTGAACTCAATACAGTAACATATGGTACTACATCAGCACCATATCTAGCAACCAAATGTTTGCAAGCTTTAGCTGATGACAATATGCAAAATTATCGATTAGGTGCATCTGCTCTCAAAGAAAACTTCTATGTAGATGAATGTTTACACGGGGCAGATAGTTTGAGAACATTGTTGGAAACCCAGAGTCAGTTTAACAAAATACTGACAGCAAGCGGTTTTAAATTGCGATTTGTTTCGTTGTTAGCTGTTATATTTGCCGTCATTCGCAGCTGCAGTTTTGAATAAGGTGCTACAGAAGTAGTAGGAAACTCAAACATCATATCAGATGAGATATTTGGAGAATCTGGTTCATTTCCTACTTTCCGTAAGTCCTCCAATTTTGTTAACCTTTCAAAAGTTGCTGTGAGATACGCCTATGAAAAACATAAGATATTAATTTAATAAAATAAAATGTAAAAAAATTTAAGTAAAGTTTGCATTTGAAAATTTATGAAAAGAATATTTTAGAATATTCTTCTCATCTCAAAAGCCAGCTTACTGGCAATAGTTTTTTTTTTACATTTAGGTTATATAAAATTTATTACACTTACCTATAGTGTTGATATATATTTTAAAGTCCTTTATATACTGATTATTTATTCCAAGAGCACTTTTATTCATCCGAGTTGCAATGTCAAATTTAAGTGATAACATTTTATTTGGTAATCTCGCCCTAATAATCTCTTGTATTTTTATGCAAGAATTATCCAGCCATGACACAATGACAATATTTCTTGAATTCAAATTCGTGCCAAACTTTCTTTCATACGGCTTTAATAACAATTTAAAAAAATCTTCATCGTCGAAAATTCTAAAAGGCAAGTTTTTGGAAGCCACTAATCCCACACAACACTTCAAAAAAGTATGTTTATCGATATCAAGTTTTACAAATTCATGATTTTTATATTTTTTGTTAGCTGATTCATAATTTTCCTCTTCACTTTCACTTGGTTTTTCACCTATATCTTTCTTATGGACGAGCTTATAATGCCGCTTAACATTAGAAATTTGTTCCACTTAATTGTTTTTCACATTGTAAGCAAATTATTTTGTTACATTCATGTAAAACTGTAAAGTATTTATTTTTTATAGCGCTCATTTTTAAATTTTCCGAAACAAAATTATGAACAAAGACTAAGTTAAAAATTCATATTTCTTAGCTTAAATAAGAAAATAAAATAAGACAGTAGGTAAAATGAGAAGGTCATTATGGGACCGTAGTTAATATTACTTCCTCGAAAATTTCGTAGGTAAGAAATTTTCCACAAATAAACAATACAAATTATTTATTACTTATTTTAAGAACTTTAATTATTTCCATATTTTAGTTAGTTCAAGGTTATTAATATTTTAAATTTTTTTTAATTACATATTTTCACAAAAAAAAAATAATAATAAAATCTCAAATTGGGTGCATGAGATCTCATGAGCCGCAGCTCATACTCTTGCTCACGAGTGTGAGCCCATTTATAACTTAATGGCGGCTCTTGCTCGTGAGCGTGAGCTCTGTAGTTGGGCTCGCTCGTGAGCGTGAGCCATCGTATGAAAAGAGTTTTTTGCAGGCTCATGAGCCGTGAGCAGAATGAGCCGAAATGAGCCGCTCATGGGTACGCAAATACGAACTCTGGTTTCAAGTGCTCAAATTAATCAACACACATAAAATACAAGTAGTTTGGGTTTCAAGTGCTCAAGCTACTTCACACGCAAAATAGGCTACCAAGCTAATACAGATTAAGGATCTGGATTAGCACCAAGTAGCGTACAGTATCTGACAAGAAATCATTTTTGGATCGTAAATGGATTCTTTTCAACCTAAACATTAAACCAAATCATCATTGTCCAATAAGTAGATCAAAAAATCGATTCTGCCTTGGTGGAACTCAGAATTAAGTGATCTCAGGCAAAAAACACGAAAACAGTAAATCCTTCTTATGCAAGCTATAAGGACTATAGTTGGCGATAATATAAAGATTGTCTTAAAACTTAAATCAAAAAAAGTAATGGCTGGAAGGCCAGGGAGGCCAAAAGTAATGGCTGGAAGGAATTTTGTAAGTCAATTCCATCAACCTCATTTTCTGCTAGATTCAGCAAGGTTCTATTCGAGGACAGTGTAAATCCTTCTTATCTCAAAAAGAGGACGGCACATGCACTCAAACATATTCTAAGACATTAAGACTACTATTAGATACTCATTTACCAAGCTGTGAAGATGATGCTAGAGAAAATATTTAAATCATTTTGGCAAGCACATAGTCACAGCGGAAAAAATCAGGTTTTTAATCAACAGTTCCTGTCCCTATAAATTGGCAAGTTTGGACGGTATTTTCCCCATTATACTGCAAAAACTGCAAGACTTAGTGGTTCCATGGTTAGGGGAAATATAAGTTAACCAGTGTTGACCATGCGTCAGCATTAATATGTAACTACGATGTCAGCGACCCACTCTATGCGCACAATTAAAATTGTTGCTTTAATGTAGCAATGATTTACGCAATAGCGAATTGCAGTGCAAAGAATTTAAAGCAAGCGCGTGTCGACATTGTTATTGTATTTAATCAGTAACTAGATATTAGTTTATAGAATAAATAAAATAATTTGTAAGTGCAGCGCACAAGCAAATATTAATAAAATATTTAATATTCAATAAAGAAATTTAGATGTAATTCTCAACCGAAAGCGAAACGTCTTTTATTTTAAAACGCTCCGCGAATCGAATACAAATAACTTATACAAAGCGTGTCTTAAATATAGCTATGTACCACTTAGTAGGTGGCAGGTTAAAGTCGTTTTTATACTCAAGGTAGGCTAAATCGATAATGTAGGTGGCAGGTTAAAGTCGTCTTTATACTCAAGGTAGGCTAAATCGATAATAGTCTAACTTCATTCTTACTTAAAACAATGGAGAGGATAATAGAGCCCCACTTAAGATAAATGGTGGAACGTTTTCCAATCTCAAAATTTCAGCACGCTTACCCTAAGGGAAGATCAACATGAGGTCATACTCGTTGGCAACCATTTTAGATATTGAGGGGGCTTTCAACAATGTCACCAATAAAGCTATCCATGACCCGCTTTCCTGAATGGGTTTAGAGGAAGAGATCAAAAATTGGATAGTTACTATGCTAAAAACAAGGACTATTCAGTCAAAATTTGGCAGCACAACCCAAATCAAACACGTCAGTAGAGGTACGCCAAAAGGAGGGGTTAATTCAACGCTACTGTGGCTGCTGGTCGTGGATAATATTCTCAATATACCAGATAAGACAGATGTGAAAGCAGTAGGGTATGCGAACGAAGTGGTTATTCTAGTGTTGGTATGTTCTCTGTCATAATAAGCGATATTATGGAAAGGGTTTTGTTTAAGATAAGTACCGGAGCCACAGGCTGTGGACTAGATACTAACACAGGAAAAACTGAAGTGATGCTGTTTACCACCAAAACCAAAATACCGGCTTTCTGGTGTCTTTTACTAAACCGGCAACAATTAAAACTATTGGAAAAAGTCAAACATCTATGAATTCTGTTGGATAGTAAGCTGAACTGGAAACACAATGTCGATCTTCGAATCAAGAAGGCATGTGAAGCTTACTATTCTTGCAAAAGGATGTTTGGTAAAAAATGGGGAATTCATTCCGATATTACACACTAAATGTACACGGCCATTGTAGGTCCATTTCTCACGGCGCCGTCGTTTGGTGGCGGGCTCTGAGTAAAAGCTATAATATCGATAAACCTAACAGAATTCAAAGGACTGCATGTGTGGGTATCACAGGAGTTTTTAGGACGATTCCCTTGGACGCCCTAAACGTGATGCTACACCTACTACCTATCGACCTCCACATCAAAAATAATATTTGCAACAAAACTGTTAGTCTGAAATAAACAGGCGACTGGTCGGAATGAACGTAGGTATGGACATAGTCGGATTCTAGGTACAGTTCTAAACTGTCTGCATAGGATTATCTGAATCTGTGCATAGACTTCGGAAGGAATTTTTAGACAATATTTCCTTTAAGAAATGAATAGAAAGAGAAAAATTTCAAAGCAAAGTACGATATTTCAATACATACAGATGGCTCGAAAATGAACTGTGGGTCAGAAGCAGAAATCTTCGTATATTGTTGCCACTTTCAGTGCCAGCCAAGCAGCAATTAAAGCCCTTGAAACTTTCATAACAAAATCAAAGATAGTAAAAGAATGTAGAGAAGCAATCGACGAGCTAAATTGGTTGACTGATATCACCCTCATCTGGGTCCCTGGATATAAGAACATCGTAGGGAACGAGAGAGCTGATAGACTAGACCGCAATGGTGCCTCCTTAGATGCGTCACTGGCGGTACCAGTTTATATTACCCTGAAGACCATTAAAAGAAGTACCTTCCTCTACTTTCTGCAACTTGTCAATATTGGAACCACTTAGGTCATGTGTGACTTCCAAGTAAACTTGGGCCAGCTAAAATAAAAATATATCCTCGGAACTCATCAAAAGAGACCTCGTGAACACTGCAAGGCTTACTGCAGTTCTTACTGGTCATTGGTGTGTAAGAACTTACGCAGACAAACTGCGCATTCCCCATAACCCTCACTGCAGCACTTGTGGAAACCCGCAGGAAAAAGAAACCATTACATTAAAACAATAAAAATCACAAAAATCTTAAATTTAATAGCCTGTGGGATAACCTCTTTGATGACGTTTTTTACAATATCCTTGCTGGAAAACATATGCTGGCGAATCCTTTTTCCAAGTAAACCCACAGATGTTCTATAGGACTAAGGTCTGGTGATTCTGGTAGTGTTTGAAGTTACCTGAGAGCATAGTACAGCATCCAAATCCGTACGATGACTGCTGTATGCTTAGAGTCATTGCCCTGTTGAAACAAAAACGTTGCCTCAAATCCTAACATTCTGTCATTTTCTTTCAAATTTGTTTTTAGAATATTTAGATACCCATATTTATTCACTGTCTCTTGTATAAATTCAAGTTTACCAACATCTTCACTTGCTATACATCCTCAAACCATCCCGTATCCACCACCATGTTTAACCGTCTAAATTAAGTTTTGTTTATCATGGGCTGTACATGATTTTCTCCAGACAAGTAACATATTCGACCTTTGATTCCAAATATGCAAAATTAACTCTCATCGGAGAAAATAACTCATTTTCAGAACTCCATAGATTATTTACGAGTACATGTTTTCTTGCAAAGTTTAATCATTTTATTCTATTATATCTGGATATGTATG